CTGTTTTTGTGACTAATGAACAATAGTAACTACTTTTTAATATTCCTAATCATCTACGCTCATCTACGCATTGTATCAATACCCCCCAATGGAAACCACCATTGTCCTCAAGGGTGAAATGCAGGAAATCTGTGCTGCAGCTCATATAGGAACTCCCAAGTAGCCTGAGAAGCATCCAAACCAGACCATTGAACCAAGACTTGACACATAGCCTTATTACCCTTTTTGACCATCCGTCTATCCAATATCAACTCAGGATTGGGACAATAAGGACTTGAAAGATGTAAAATAGGGGGATGATTAATAATTGTAGGCACCTCATAACACTTTTTAAGCTGAGAAACATGAAACACAGGATGAATAAGGACATCAGCAGGTAAAAGCAACTTGTAAGCTACTGACCAACTCTAGAAAGTACCAAGTAAGGATCAAAATACTTTGCAGCAAGCTTGTTAAAAGGCCTAGAAGCCACTGAAATCTGTCTGTAAGGTTGCAACTTCAAGTAAACCCAATCTCCATCCATAAATTGCCTATCAGACTAGTGTTTGTTAGCTTTATCTCTCATGCTTTGTTGTGCTCTAGCTAAATGGAACTTGAGCAGGGCTATCACAACCTCTCTAGCCTCCAGGGATCTATCAACCATGTCATTAGAAGACTCACCAGCTAAGTAAGGCAAGTGTATTGGTGGTTTTTTACCATACAAAACTTCAAAAGGTGTACATTTCAAAGTAGAGTGGTATGTAGTGTTGTACCACCATTCAACAAGTGGTAGTTGCGTAGCCCAAGTATGAGGACTATCAGAGCAAAAACATCTCAAATATGTCTCCAAGGTTCTGTTAAGAACCTCTGTTTGACCATCAGTTTGGGGATGGTATGCTGTCGATTTATGTAATAAGACCCCCTGTAATGTAAATAACTCTTGCCAAAAAGAACTCAAGAAAATGGGATCCCTGTCACTTACTATAGAAGCTGGCACACCATGCAATCTGAAAACATTATCCAAAAAACACTGAGCTACAGATTCA